ATTATATAAAAAATATCATGCTGTTGGAAAGTCGTGACATGCTTGAAGAACATGTAATCATGCTTCTCCTTTTGGAACATATGATTGACCTTCGAAATACAATAGGTTGTTTTTGAATTTAAACTTAGAAGTATCTTAGAACTTAAAAGAAGGATTCTTGATATGATAAATAAGAAGATCAAAAGATATACTTGCTTGGATTTATTGTATAAGGTTAGAATCAATAGTCGATATTGATTTCATTACTCAAAGATGAAAATGCTCTAGTTTTAAGAGAATCATTCTTTGTTGATCAAAAGATGCATTTTCTTCTTTTGGTGTAAGATAAGAATGACTAGAAAGAACATCTGACAAACCTTGTTGTTTTTCAGGTCAATATGTGATCTTGAAATCAAATCTTGATAAAGACATGCTCCAATGGATTTGGTGACGATTCAAAATATGTGCTGACATGAAGTACTTGAGATTCATATGGTCCATATACATGATGAGTGGATTGGAAGCACCTTCTAGATAATGACGCCATTCTTGAAATGAATCCATGATTGTAAGAGGATCTTTGTTGTGGATTTCATAGTTAATCTTGACTGCTGAAATTTTTTTGAAATAAAAAGCTACTAGATGAAGTTTATTATGTATTTCCATTTATGATAATATGGCACCCAAAGAAAATTCTGATGCATTTGTTTTCATAAAAAATACCTTAAAAAAGTTGATGCGATACAAGATTGGTGCAAAAATAAAAGTTGACTTCAAAGCTTCAAAAGATGCTTCAGCTTCTCTATTCCACTCAAGTCTGTCTTTGCAAGTCAAACATGTAAGTGGGCCTATGATTCAAGAAATATTTTTGATGAAGATCCGATAATAGTTGGCAAAGCCCAAAAAGCATTGGACATCTCTTACTGTTTTTGAAATCTTCCAATTCATAATAGTTTGAACTTTCTTAGGATCTATCACAAGTCAATTATTTGAAATGATGTATCCTAAGAAGTCAACTTGAGTAGTGTAGAATACATACTTTCCTATCTTGGCATAGAGTCTCGTATTTGTTAAGTTTGATTTCACTCTTAGTTATTTCTTAAGTTTGATTTCACTCTTAGTTATACTTTTAGAAAAATCAAGAATATGAGAAATCTAATCTTTATAAAGATTATACTTTTTTAACCATGATTAATCTAAAATGATTGAATTAGATGAAAATCTAATTATATTAAAGATTATGTAACTACTATGATCATTTATTGTTATATCTATGGAAAGTATTTTATAAGTAACATCTCCAAAAGACAACGGACGACCATCTATGACTTCTACATGAACAGATTTAGTTTTTTGTACTAACAATATTTTATGACTTTTAACAAATTTTACATCTAAGAAAGAAGCTGAGGCTCTTGAATCTATCAAGGCGGAGGCTTTATAATTATTAGGTCTTAAATGCACATCTATTATAAAGCAAGGACAGGGTTTTGAGGAGAAGATAGAACCTTCATTAGAAATTATACAAAATTCCATGTGCACGGTCCCTATTGTACTTATACAAATTTATTTTCTGACACATTGACTTCTTTAACAATTGTGCTTCTTATTTTGTGGTGTATTTAGATTCTCCACAATATAAGGACAATCCTTTTTGATAGTGACGAGTCTTTTTTTAATTAGTAAGAGATTTAATACGTACTGCATCAATTTACATATCCTCTACTTTTGAATGTATATATTGAAGAGATGTTGGTGTTGCCATCAAATTGTAATAACGTTAAGGCCCACTTGTACGACTTTGAGATCAAAATTCAAAAAGTCAATTGTTGCACTTCACAACAAAGTCAATTGCTTGACTCAATGTTTGAGGATCATGTAAGTTGAGCATCAATTTCTTTACTTCATATTATAATCTATAGAAAAATTGGCTAATAAGTGCGACATCATGCCACTTGATATCAGTTACAAGTTGTCAAAATTGTGAAACATATAATGTTATAGATCGATTGCCTTGTTGCAAAATATGGATCTTGTTAGTTGTAACACAAGTTGCATCATGTTCACTATACATGAATTAAAATTTTGCCAAAAATACCTCTAAATTATCTATTATTAGATCTTATCATTCAAAAAAAGATGAAAACCACAATAGTGCTAAACTTAAAAGAAGTGTACCAATGAATCTAACTTGTGATCTTGGAGTTGCATAGCTTTGAGATTGAAGTTCAATCACAAGTTGTACTTAATTGTTAAATCTTCAAAATTTGGATCTTGTACCATCAAACTTCTTTAAGAGGGTAATTCTTGGTTCTCTAACACTTGAAAGATGTTCCATTGTAGGTGGAGGGATATGATTTGGTGCAAATATTGAAGTAGCTCTAATCATCTCTATATCCTCATTTCTTGCCATTCTTATTGATCCTTATGGTAGTAAGCTAAGTTGATGCATCGCAAGCATCAACTCCTTCAATTACTCTTACATTTGTGCCATTGCGTTCTTCATTTCAACAAGCTTTGCCATAATAACATTGAGGAAAATATCTAATACTACTCAAGATAAGTAGAAAAAAGGACTTAAGGACAAAGAAAATACTAAGAACAATATCAGTTTAAAAGAGGATAATTTGCAACTTCTAATAGGCTTATATCTTATCATGAGAAAGGTGTAATCCACTCCAAATCAAGACAAGACAAAACTCTAATATTGTAAGTGTAGTCTTATCAATCTATTAAGGACATAAACTAAAAAATGATGCATAAACCAATGAAATCTATATCAAAGAAAAAATGAGAAAATAGAAAAAGGAAGTATGTATATTAAAAAAAAACTGGAATGGCTTATTGGCAAAAGACAAGAATACTTGAGACTCTTGAAACTGGGCTAGAAGCAAGAAAGGAATTGACAAGAGTGAAGAGGGCTTCATTCTTGTTTCTATATATACTATCTAATTAAAGGCTACATAGCGACATTCTATAGGACCTCTAATATATGTTGACTTTGTAGGATACATGTTTTGACTTACAAGGCAAGTTTTTCTATGTATGGGCCACATAGTTAGCTTGATTTTCAAGCTAACAACATGTGTGACACATAGCCAACTTGTTGACCACATTTTTAATCTAAAAAATCAATTATAGACACCTATAAAATCAAAGCAACATCTATGAAGCTTCTTAGAAGCTTTTATAGAAGATATTATAGAATTAACTTATTTTTACTTACTTCTACTTACTTCTACCTATTTATATAAGTAATTATTACCTTACATGTATATGTCCATGACAATAGCATATCAAAGCTTAATCAACATTACTTAAATGACTAATAGATCCTTAAAATCTTTTTTTTTTGTTATAATTATCTTATATTATAATAATAATATTGACATTGACAACTAGTCTTACAAAATATTGGCAATTGAAAGCACAATACTTTGAACATACTTGACCATAAGTTGATTTATCAACTTGTTTATTAAAAATGAATCTAAGTCATTGAAAAAAAGATGGACATCAATAAGCTTGGTCAAGTATGCACTCTACTAAATTTACAAATCTATATTTACAGTTAATTGTGTCAACATAATGATGTTGTATAAGCCAAAGACTAAGCAAAATTCATACAATATTACAATAAGTGTCTCAAGTTGCACTTTTTCTTGGCAAAGAAGTATTGTAAGACCTTACATTTGTGTAGCTACCTTACATTTATGTAGCTACCTTATATAGCTCCTAGAAAAATATATTGATGCCAAACAAACACTATTCACTAACCAACATCTGACTTATAAGTTGAAATTTTTCTGTCCAAGTATGTGACAAATTCAATATGAAACTCCTTAAAAAATTGTCAATTTTTTCATCAACATCCAATGCATATCTATGAACTTATGACACATCAACTTTATCCAACTAATAAGATTAGATTGATGTTGAAGATATAATATAAGCATTGTAAGTATGATTATAAGATTGTTATGATATAACATAAGATAATTTGTCTATATGACAAGGCTAAATTGGTTGAGTCTAAATTCAATGCAAATAATGAGATAAATTATAGCCTCTTAAAAGATAGTAATCATAGCACTTAAATAGCCTATCATGATATGCTTGCCATTAATACTCATTAATGGCAATTTTATCTTCTTCAATGGCTTGATTACATTAAGTGCTTTTACAATCCTGGTAAGGATGATATTTGTTGTATTGCAATCAAAGTACAAAAGTGCCAACATATGAAAGTTGTATATATTATTTTTAATACTGAAATACAAACAAACATCAAGATATGACATGCCTTACTTTGTATCAAGATTGAGCACCAATAAAAAGAACTAGCATTATTAAGTAATATAAAGAACTTATAAAAATTTAGGATATAGATAATATGCATGTATGCAACTTATTTGCCTTCATGATAGCTCTTGAAGTAGTTCATCTTTAAAGTGTCTTATATGATGCCTACACTACATAATACAATCAAACCTTGACAAAGGATATTTGATATAAATTATTTTATTCTAAAAGTTAAATTTTTTGTGTTTCTTAAAAAATTACAAGGCTAATAGTTAAGTTGTTAATAATTAGGTTTTTATACTTATTCTAATATTAGGTGTAATTTAATAATAATTAGATTTTATATTTAATATAATTAAAATAAATAAATAATACAAATGAGTTTTCTAAGAATTGCAAATAAAATATTTTAATTTAGTATGAATAGAAATAGAAGAAGTCTTTTCACCAACTTATAACAATCAAAGATATAAAGGCCCTCTTGTCATTGCAAGTGAGACTACAATACACTTTTATACATAGTAGAAAACTTGCATCCAATAATCATAATGGAGATAGACGTATTTTTAATCACCAATATTATGGCTGAGCTTGAAACACAAATTAGTGTTTTGGATCCCATATAATTGGTGTTAGTTTTCCAATGTTATGAGCAAAGAGTGTACCAAACCTTGCTAAAAAGAGCTGATTTCTCAGTAGACGTTATTTGCTCCTGAGGTGATTTGTTCGCTCAAATAGTTGGACCGAAAGTCGGATTGTTGGTTCTTCTAAACCAGAAGTTTAGCTGTATGTGGAGATATACACGTTGCAGTAAACTATTGTGGTGTAAACTACGATTTCTTATGCGATGTTACATGTCTAACATTTCGCATTGTAATAGAGATTTGGGCCTTTTGTGGTGGCAGGGTGAATCTCCGGTCCCTGAAGCTCGTGTTGACTACGAAGCTTTTAGACAGCTCTACAGAGATGGTGCATTAGATAATCGCAAAATACAGCTTGATATACCTGATGGAAGATCACGGCTTCCTTTGGAGATAGGCGGTGCTAGTGGGTTTGGTGTGAACGAGTTGGTTTTCCGGGTACAGGCCTATTATACATACTTAGTAATAAAATGCTTTTGTAATCTCATGTGTGGTTATTTAAAAGAGGTGGTACCGTAATTATCATACAGAGTATTAGATTGGAGTTGAAATGCCTTCTTGATTCTGATGTTCTCATATTGTTGTGGTACATGAATTCAGTCTTCTTAGTGCTCACTTAATTGTTTTTCAGGTATGTCATGTCCAGATGATGAGATGAAAGAGATGGTCTTTGATTTATATAGACTTCGATGTTGTATCCAAGTTTTAAGTAAGTGTATCATGTTCTGATTGGTTGGACCTGGGAACTAGTTGCCTCAGATGGAGAAATTTCTCAAGTCGCAGAGGATGGAAAGAATGGAAATCACTATAGCGGATGCAAAACCTATCCTGCGAGAAATTGAAATGGAGAAACGTCTAAACTTAGATCAGATCACCAAAGATGCAATAATGGTAATTAAAGTCTTCATCCCGCACTTTGTCTTGATTTCTTCCTCTTTATGTCGTGTATTTAGCAAATTCGTTCTCCTTGACAATCACAAGTTTGGCTGTAGTATGTAGTTTGACAGAGAGAAAGAATTTGATGTTGTTGGCATCTGACATGGGACATGGGTTGCTGACGTGGAGCAGCTAGCAGAATCAGATGGTATTGTATTTATTGATGAGATTGACAAAATCGTTACCAATCATGAGACTAGATATGGGGCAGACGCAAGCTCTGAAGGGGTTCAGCGTGACTTACTGCCAATTATAGAGGGCAGGTAAAAATTCCAGCAGGTTTATTCGGATTGCAAATTTTATGCTTTCATTACAGAGTATCCTTGCCAGTTGCATGCCAATCAGACAAATCAACAGGTGTTCTCTAATACTCTTTTGAACCTATACCAAGTGCAGCGTTAACATGTGCACATGGGATACCATGAAATGTACACCCTTAATAGTCTGAACAAAATACTACCACGGGTTAATAACGACAGAACACGTATCCTTTAGCTGTGCTTCGAGATCGTTTAGCATACACTTGATAGTTTGGTTTTGCATGTGCAGTGTGGTCAGTACAAAGTATGGCAACGTGAACACAGATCATATTCTCTTCATTTGTAGCGGTGCATTTCACTCATGTAAACCAAGCGATATGCTTGCCGAGTTGCAAGGGCGATTACCTATTCGAGTGGAGCTGAAAGGGTTGGGAAGAGAGGTACTTGCATTTTCGCATCTTACTTTTATGCTACAATTTGTCTAGATTTGAACAGAAATTTTTATGTATCCTGGATAGATGTCTCACTCTAGTTTTAATAGAGATGACTCACTTGCAATAGGTTTCACTTCTGGGATTAGATAATTCTCTACGTCTTCGTAGCTGTTGGGATGAACACCCTGCTCTGTCGTCCGAAGAGCGTTGTAACACCTCATTGCAGCAACTTATTCAATGCTGATTACTTGATTCCGTGCTTTATAGTGGATCATTAATATTACTGTTTTGTTGTGCAGGATTTATATCGGATATTGACAGAGCCCGAAACTAATATAATTCGACAGCAGCAACTATTGATGAAGACAGAGGACATTCATCTGGTATTTACAGACGACGCAATTGAAGAACTTGCCAAAGTGGCTGCTGAGGTAAGACTCCTTGTTGATTTTAACAGACTAAATGTGTGTTTCCTTTACAATTTTAGGTTGCAACGAGGAGGGTTTGCAGTTCCATCTGATGTCCAATAATTTTCGTAGAGTAAATTGACAGCTACATTGTTTGTGGGTTCTCTGTCGTCCCTTAATGTACTATTGAAGACTGTTTAGTATACGTATTGCCAGTGAGTTCAGATTATTGTGCAAAGCTAACAATCATAGAATAGCACGTCACTGTCGATCAGTCTTGGCTATGATTAGTGACTAATGACTTTTCCTGACACATAAAATATTCATTTTATTCCCAGTGCTTCTTAGAAGTAGAGTCATCTGAAAGAGTGTCAAATGATCACAATTGGTTTGAGTACTTGATCTCTTTTCTCTCTATCATATGTCGAAGGCTCATACATATTATTTACCTTTGGGCTCAAATAGCAGTTCAATAGAGTTAATTGTCAGTGTTCGAGCCAGTCGATAGGTTGTAGTAATAGCTGGGATGCTTTCATTTTGACATTATCGCAAACATTGATATCTTTATTATTACAGGTTAATCGGTCAGTGGACAATATTGGTGCAAGAAGGCTTCATACGGTTTGTTTCACCACCATCATCTTACATTGTCTGAACTTGAGCATCTTTACTTATGGATTGGTTTTAATTATCCAATTTTCACTTAAGTGTGTAGATTTGTGTTTCTTTTGTGCACGTGTGAGATTCCTTAAAATCCTTTACCCTGACCTTACAGGCCTGAATCTCGTGCTTCTGGACTCAGTCTTGTTGCACACTCTTGTGTGAATTCCAACAAGATCTTATTATTCCCCATGCCGCAATTTTCAGGTTGTTGAGCGGGTTGTGGAGGACATAAGCTTTCATGCTCCTGAGAGATCTGGAGAAACATATACGATTGATAAGGAGGTTCATATCTTGCCCCCTCTTATACAGTGGACATACTAACGGTACTGTCTCCTTTTATTTTCTTTTACTAAGAGTCGTCTTTTTCCGGAAAGATAATGCTCGGTTTTTCATGGCTATATGCAGAGTGTGCAGCGGGCAGTTGGAGATTTTCTGAAAAAAGCTGACCTTTCAAGATTTGTGCTCTGAGTCCCAAAATGAAAGCATCCCGGCTGGAGTGCATATTGCAAGCAGTGGCTAGAAATAAGATCAGGAAGCCTTGTTGTTCATTGAGGCATTAATCGGGCAGACCTTCCAGATGCTGTGGTCGTCGAGAATCACTTGCGTCCGTTGTATTGATTCCTTGGTCTATGCTGATTTATCTTAATTTGTTCATAATTTCTGCATTGGAAACTTTGTGATTAAATTGAGATGTAAAATATTTCAGTTTCTACGTGTTGCTCAGCAGTTCACACCGGACCACTGTCAAGGTTATATCTATATTATCCAAATTACAGAATTTGGTTTGTATTTCCTTGTAAATGAAGTAATTAAGGATTTTTTTTCTAAATTAAAATAAAATAATTAAAGTGATCAATTGCATATTGAGATATAAATCATGTAATGTTTAAAGTTATGTTTAAAAAATATTCTTCAGTTTTTATATATATATATATATATATTCTAAATAATTATTAACTTACAGGAATTATATAATTAAACTTTGAGGTAGGCATTTAAACTAGTTTGTTTGCAAACATATGTGGAATAATAGAAGCTATTTTTTACTACAAAAGGTATCAATGCACAACTCAAATTTGCTAGGAAATATTAACATTCAACTTATAATGATTGAATATTTGCAATTTTTATTCACAAGACAAAGATTAATAGGTTTTAATTGGATAGAAAATCTTGATATTGACTTACTATTGAATAAATTGATATATTGCCATACTAAGATTGTAAAACAATAAAGCATGGTGGTAGTTCAATTATAAATTGGAATTGCATGATTTCTTTTGGACTTGATTTCATTCACAAAATAGAAGAAAATATGGACTTATATTGTAATAATAATATTAAAGAGGATTGTTTATATCATACCATATAAAAATATAATCTAGATTGTTGATTTTTGATTTCCTACTAAGTCAATTCTCAAAGTTATTAAGCTAGAATTATGCAAGAGTATCTCATATTGTTGTCAAGGATAAGAAATCAAAGATGATATGTAAATAAGTGAGATATGTATAAAAGAGAGAAGAAAAAATTAAATAAGTAAGTATGTATATTTAAGAAGAAATTGGAATGGCTATTGCCAAAAGATAGGAAGAACTAGAGACCTTTGAAACTAAACTAGAAGCAAGAAAGGAATTGACAAAAATGAAGAAGGCTTCTCTCTTGCCTTGATATATACTATCCACGTAAGAGCTATGTGGCGATGTTCTATAGTACCTCCAATACATATCAAAATTGTAAGACTTGTGTCATAACTCACAAAACAAGTTTCCTATGTGTATTCACATAGTTAAATAGTACTACAAGCTACCAATACATGTAACATGTGGCTGACTTGTTGGCCAAGTTTATAACCTTTCAATCACCTATAGACATGTCTAAAGATCAAACCACATCTATGAAGCTTCAATAAAGCTTATGTATAAAATATTATCAAATTAAATTACTTTAATCCACTTCTACCTAATTATATTATCCACATAACTATTGGAATAAATATGTATGTCTATGATAAATGTATGTGTTTTTAAGTTCTTATCTAATCATTATAATTATTAAATCTAAATCTATATTTGACAATTATACTTGCTTTCAAAATAACAATTGAAAGAGAGCTCCTATAAGAATAATATTATTAAAAAAATATGTAATTTAATTATTCTATGCAATCATTGTTGAAAAGTACAAGAAGCTTTCTAAACCACAATCAATTGTATTGTAGCAATTTTATGAACTAAAAGACAAAATTTTGAGGTTTAGTTTGTTGTTATGTACAAACTTTGGTTTTTACATTAATGTTTCTTCAATGGCTCTATATTTTTTTTAAATTAGTCTCTATTTTTTAAACATATTCCATAGTTATGAAAGATTATAAGTAATGTTATTTCTACCTTTGGATGTTATCTCATGATTTCAAAATATAATAAAGTGATTTTGATAATTTAAGCTTTATACTTTGTTTAATAAGTTACAAGACTATTCTATTAATTAGAAAATAATCATTTTTATAAATTTCTTTTCAAATTTTAATTATTATAAGATAAGCATTTAAATAATAAGATATTATTCTAAAATTTTCTTAAGTCTAAAAACAACAATACTAAAGTTTTGTAACTTACTTTAATAATATTATATTTTAAAGATCATTTCTATAAGGAATAATAAGATATTAAATGAAATTATAAGATTAGAAAAAACAAATGAGGTAAAAAAAAATTCTATTAGAAACTTGAATTCAAATTTAATACAACCATAATTGTATATATTAGCTATTATAAAGTCAAAGTTAGAAATGCTACAATGTAAATTTGATTGAAATTAAATTATAAGCATTTCTTATTTTAATAACATATATTACAAAAGTTAAATAAAAATAAATAACCATGTTTAATAAATATATGCATATCATTTAAATAAATTGGAAAAATCAAGATAAAGTAGAAATATATTAGCACATGTAGGCCCTTTGACAATCATAAAAATGCACACATGTTAAAATTTTAACTAAAAAGAAAACAAAATCTACTTGAAACTATCTTGATTTGAGACATGGTTTAAAAAACAATTTGCAAAGTCTCGAGACAAAAAAATAAAGAAAGAAAGAAAGAAATTTGATAGTCTCCTCTACTTACCAAATATGGATAGTCTTGATCTTGTGGAGTTAGATAGTCTCAAATTGTGTTAAAAGAAAAGAAAAGAAATAAAAGTAAAGAAAAGGGAAATAAAGAAGGTGGAAGGAGGGGGGGGGAGGGAGGATCGTGGCGGTTGGTGCAAGGATGCGAAGAAAGAGCCACGGAGAGATACGATGCGACGATGATGAGTTGCAAAGCGGGGGATAACTAACTTAGATATTTGTGGGAAGTGGAGGGAGTGTTGGAAGACCCACCACCAGCCAAGCCAAGCAATCAAGCAAGCAAGCAAGTGCGGCGTCCCCGGGCGAAGAAGAAGAAGAAGAAGAAGCAGAAGCAGCAGCGAAGGGGGCAGCAGGAGGCGTACACGAGTAATTCAAACATGAATATACCGTAACCGACGAAACCGATTCCTCGTCGGTGGACACCCCGCGTCGTTAGGTTTAGGTTTGGAAGTTGGAGGAGAAGAAGGAGAAAGTGGAGGACGAGCATCAGGACGGACGAGCTGGCTGGCTTCGGAGAGGTTCTCCAAGCTTCCCCGACCTTCTGCCACCTTCCCAGCTCCCGTTACTTAGGCCCCCCCCTCGCTCACCTCCCTTCCATCTCATGCCATCTTATCTCATCTTCTGAGCCCTACCCTGACCCCGTTGAGACTCGGCAGAGCCGGCAGGTTTACGGAGATCGGCATTGCAGTGTGTATTTGGTTGAGTGGAGTGCAGCATTCAGATTCAGAGGGTGTTTTGAGGCTGAGCAGGGATGGCCGGCAAAGGCGAGGGTACTGCCATTGGCATTGATCTGGGAACCACGTACAGTTGCGTAGGAGTGTGGCAACATGATCGCGTGGAGATCATCGCAAACGACCAGGGGAACCGGACGACGCCAAGTTATGTGGCGTTCACGGACACGGAGCGTCTGATCGGTGACGCCGCCAAGAACCAGGTGGCCATGAACCCGACCAACACTGTGTTCGGTGAGTTTGTTGCGCCTCCTTGTCGCCACAGTTGTATGATTTCCTCGGGCGAGGAGTGAGAAGAGTCCTCGGCGGGTGTAGTGTGAGTCGTTATGGTGGGAATGCGATGGGCGGGAGTCGGGCACCGGGCGGTTGTGTGCTTTCTGGTTATCAGAGTCGGCGCGGGGGATATTCACGTGTTTTCTGAAGTTGGCTCTGAGCAGGCTCTGCACGGGAGGGAACGAGAGCGAATAGTTGTTAGGAGTGTGTCTATAGTTGGGTTCAATTTTCTGTTTCACGTGGATAGTTCGTTGGCGGGTGATTGGTAGTGCAGATCCCTGGTATCAGCGCAGTCGCTGTGAAAGGCGCCTTTTTATGAGTTCTGTGTGTTTGCGAGCTGGAGGCGAGGTTTTCTGATTTGTGGTGTGGGTTTGGTCATGGAAATGTAGATGCGAAGAGGTTGATCGGCAGGCGTTTCAGCGATGCGTCCGTCCAGAGTGACATGAAGTTGTGGCCTTTCAAGATCACCCCGGGACCAGGAGAGAAACCCATGATCAGCGTGCAGTACAAGGGCGAGGAGAAGACGTTTGCCGCCGAGGAGGTGTCGTCCATGGTGCTGATCAAGATGAAGGAGATTGCGGAGGCGTATCTCGGGTTCACGGTGAAAAACGCCGTGGTGACGGTGCCCGCATACTTCAACGATTCGCAGAGGCAGGCGACAAAGGATGCCGGAGTGATTGCCGGGTTGAACGTGTTGCGTATCATCAACGAGCCGACCGCCGCTGCCATCGCGTACGGTCTGGACAAGAAAGCGACGTCGGTGGGCGAGAAGAACGTGCTGATCTTCGACTTGGGAGGTGGGACATTCGACGTGTCTCTGCTGACGATCGAGGAGGGAATCTTCGAGGTGAAGGCCACAGCCGGAGACACCCACTTGGGAGGGGAGGATTTCGACAACAGGATGGTGAACCACTTCGTGCAGGAGTTTAAGCGCAAATACAAGAAGGATATCAGCAGCAACCCGCGTGCTCTGAGGAGACTGAGGACTGCCGCAGAGAGGGCGAAGAGGACCCTTTCTTCGACCGCCCAGACGACGATCGAGATCGACTCCTTGTACGAGGGTGTGGACTTCTACTCGACCATCACCCGTGCGCGGTTCGAGGAGTTGAACATGGACATGTTCAGGAAGTGCATGGAGCCCGTGGAGAAGTGTTTGAGGGACGCGAAGATGGACAAGTCATCAATCGACGACGTTGTGTTGGTGGGCGGATCCACCCGTATCCCGAAGGTACAGCAGCTGTTGCAGGACTTCTTCAACGGCAAGGAGCTGTGCAAGTCGATCAACCCGGACGAGGCTGTGGCCTACGGTGCGGCGGTGCAGGCTGCAATTTTGTCCGGAGTGGGCAACGAGAAGGTCCAGGATCTGCTGTTGTTGGATGTGACTCCTCTGTCTTTGGGTCTGGAGACCGCAGGAGGTGTGATGACAGTGCTAATCGCGAGGAACACGACGATTCCGACGAAGAAGGAGCAGGTGTTTTCGACGTACTCGGATAATCAGCCCGGAGTGTTGATTCAGGTGTACGAGGGCGAGAGGGCTAGGACGAGGGACAACAACTTGCTCGGGAAGTTCGAGCTGTCGGGAATTCCCCCCGCCCCCCGTGGTGTACCCCAGATCACCGTGTGCTTCGACATCGATGCGAACGGTATTTTGAACGTATCTGCGGAAGACAAGACGACGGGACAGAAGAACAAGATCACGATCACGAACGACAAGGGTCGTTTGTCGAAGGATGAAATCGAGAAGATGGTGCAGGAGGCGGAGAAGTACAAGTCGGAGGACGAGGACCACAAGAAGAAGATCGAGTCGAAGAACGGACTGGAGAACTACGCGTACAACATGAGGAACACGATCAAGGACGAGAAGATTGCGTCGAACTTGGACGCGGCGGACAAGAAGAAGATCGAGGACGCAGTGGAGGCCGCGATTCAATGGTTGGACCAGAACCAGTTGGCGGAGAGCGACGAGTTCGACGACAAGATGAAAGAGTTGGAGGGCGTCTGCAACCCGATCATTGCCAGGATGTACCAGGGAGGTGCAGGAGGCGAGGGTGGTGCACCATCTAACGGAGGAAGCGACTCATCTCCGTCCGGCGCAGGACCCAAGATCGAGGAGGTCGACTAAACGGATGACAATCTGTCGGGGTGCGGTGGTTTCGCACACGATCGTAGACGCGAAGATTTTGTGAGACCATTCTTTCTTTGCAGTAGGCGAGGGCGCCTCTGATCGTGGAGAGGTGTATGTAGAGGTCTAGTTGTAAGATTCATTTTTCCTGTGATTAACGGTTCGGAGCTGATTTGGATGCTCGTCGGACCCGGAAGCAAACATTTTGTACTTAATACGGAGGCCGTGAAATGCAATGAGCTTGAGCTACTCAGTCGATTGTGTCGGACTTTGGGGGTGCTTACGCATGTTTCTGATTTAATGCCGCGCTCGCTGTCTCGAACCCATCTGTCGACTGCATTGCCGCATTGACTCTGGTACAGGCGCTCCTAGCTTGGCGATGCCTTGGAATCTATTTCTTGTGATCTTGTAGTTGCACAAGGGTGTATCCAAAAGTAAAATCAGTACTCCCGATTATGTCATCAGTGTGCTCAAGTATGTGATTGTGAATTTAAGCTTGCAATGTGGTGCAATACCGCCTGGAATTAGAGAGCATAGCTTTATCGAAGTTGAACTGCAGTCATGACGATGACGCACTCATGACAGCACCCGATTGGTACATAATACGCTGTGTGCACGCAGTGTGGAGAAAGTGGTTATTGTGCCCACTGGTTGTATAGATCATCGTGCACACGATTTGAATGTGTGCCAATTGTTTAAGTGAAGCATCAAATGGACTGATATAATCTCTTTTTAGTGGGCATTAGTCAGCTTAGAAATGACATAATAATTATTTATTAAGTTGAAATTAAGGTGCTTAGAATGCATAAATGATGCTATTGTTGCAAACCTAAAGTGCTATTTTTAAAAGATTATTATATACAAATTTAGTGGTGGCCTTTATTCCAATGTTTAATATTTTGTGTGTGTGTGTGTGTGTATGTGTGTGTTTTATTCTTTTATGCTGGCATTGTCAACGTCTAACCTTGTCATAAGCTTTTGAAGAATCAATTTGTATAAAAAAGTTGTTTTGTCAAAAACTATTATTGTTTATTTTAGGGGAGGAAAACCAAAGAAGTTCAACTTCCTTTAATAGAGGGAAGATCTTGAAAAGTTTGCAAACTAGCTATTGATAGAAAATCTTAGCTATAATTGTTTATATCTAAAAACTTCTTTAAAAGAGGTCACTTGACAAATTGTAGTACAATCTTCTTATTGGTCAAAATTTGGATCTAATGCCTTTCAATCATACAAGCCAAACTTTGATCTTGGTGTTATGTAGAATCTAAAAGGATTTTTGTATTCTAATTCCTTCAAAATTTTGACCTTGATTGCACTAAATTATCTTATAGAAGAGTTTATTTGAGTATTTTTTAGAAACAGTAGCTAGGCTTGACAAAGTACTAAAATATGGTTCTATTAATATGGTCACTTGAGCCTTGATTTTGCATAGGTATGGATTTAGGCATTATATGAGAATAAAAAATTAAAATTGATAATTTGATTATTAATTATAAAATTTTGATATATATATATATATATATATATATATAATTTAAATATATATATTTATAGAATATTTAAAATATATACATGATATCAATTTTATATGGATATTGACTAATGAATTTAGTATTACTTGGTATTGGTTATGTTTAGGATATAATTTATATCTAATATGAAGAAGTATATTGCATTGATAATAATTAAGTATAATAGCTTTGAAATTATGTGTTATATTTTTGTCAAAAATTTAGGTGAAAATCTCACTATAATTGAGATTCTAAAGTGTGCTACTTTTATTGATTCAAATAATATCATAATTGTCATATATACACTCTATTTTAGTATTGTGTAATATACACTTTTTTTGATCTTTGTATATAATTCTATATTTCTATAATTAATATTGATTTTATTGCTTGAAGAGAATTTTTTATTATTGATCTATTATTAAAAGCATCTTTCATAGAAACAGATGCATCAAACTTTGCTATAGATATTATTTTGTCACAAAAAGAAGTAAATGACAAGCTATTAGGTCGAGCTATTAGGTCGAGCTATTAGGTCGAGCTATTTTTTGTGACAAAATAATATCTATAGCAAAGTTTGATGCATCTGTTTCTATGAAAGATGCTTTTAATACTAGATCAATAATAAAAAATTCTCTTCAAGCAATAAAATCAATATTAATTATAGAAATATAGAATTATATACAAAGATCAAGAAAAGTGTTTATTACACACTACTAAAATAGAGTGTATATATGACACTTATGATATTATTTGAATCAATAAAAGTAGCACACTTTAGAATCTCAATTAAAGTGGAGATTTTCACCAAATTTTTGACAAAAATATAACACATAATTTCAAAGCCTATTATACCTTAATTATTATCAATGCCATATACTTCATCATGTTAGATATAAAATTAATATCCTAA